TGTGGAAACATACACATATATAACTAGTATGCATATAAACTAGTGTATACTTGTATTATTGCAGTAGTTTTATTTGCAATAATCACTAGCCTTGGCAGACGATTACAGCAACTGGTACGTAGCCTATTAGCATGTAAGTTTAGAAATACGCGTTTGAACTAGGGTGTCGGAGGTGCCCCGGGGTATATTCTCTAGTGTAAGTTTTTGCACCCTGGTGGAGTGTGTGAAAACCGTGGAGTGAGTGGGTGGGTGGGTATGCATGTGTTTTTTTTCTGAGTGAATGTGAAACTTTAATTTTAAGTAGGTAGGACCCCGTAAGGCACATGGTAAACTTGCACTTTGAAAATGCAAGTCCCATCTCCGGGTTTTTTTTATATAGAATTGTCACAAAATTTTATCTTTTTATTCTATCATGCTTACTTAGTAAATTTATTTTGTGACAATTCTATCATTTTTAATATGTATCATGATTCAAAGGTATTTGCAACTATTTGAAAGATTTATTTATCGATTCTATCTCGAACGAGATAAAATCGAAATCAAATTCGCAAAACCTTTGATGAATTTGATACTTAGTTTTAAGTATAACAGGTTTAACACTTCGCACTATCGCGATTTTGTCTTTTAAATGTTTGATATAATTCAATATAAATTAAATAAAAATATTGCATATAAATGCATTGCATTTTTAGTATTATTTTTATTTCAATTCGTTTTTATTACTTGATAGTAAAAAGTGCGAAGTGTTACTAGGTTCATCGATTAGCTTAATTAACTGCTGGGACATTCAATTAAATGTGCTCGTGTAATATGTGGATAGCTAACGGTAAACGCGAATTTATTTTGTAATAATTATTTAACAAAGTTATAAAGAACATCGGAATTATATTGCAAAATGGTATGTATGATAGAAAAATAAATGAAATTATTTCATAAGTATTGTAATATGAAATGTATTTCATTTATATTAGTATTATAAGCAGTTGAGAGTAATTGGTTGAAAATGTCTTAAAGTCGTTTCGAAATTGTAGGACCATAATCTGGCATGTTACAACGATATGGTATTAGAATGGAATCAATAATTTACATGGTTAAATAATATTCTTTTCGACGATGAGATTATCTCTCGATCAAAAGGTAATAATTATTTTCTATGTAAATAGCTCAGGATGTTTTACTAATCACATTTTTATTTTCAGGGTTGTGTTAGGGTTGATTAGGTCGGGTTTTTTCTTTTTTATAATTTAGAATCAGGGACGATTCTGATTCTATATCATTGATCGTTGTAACATGCTAAATTATGAGAATACTTTTTGAGAACGATTGATGTTTTTGGTCAATGATTCTTTTCATGCTCGCACGTAGGGAATGTCCGACAGTAGGCATCAAGAAAGAAGAGGCAAATGTCGAAGAGGCCCCCACTTAATTGTGGCTCAAGAGGGCAACTACAGACTCAATGAGTTATTTGCAAATTCAACAGCATAGTTGAATTTTTGCGAATAGCTCGTTGGTCATTTCATATTTTGATTGTTTTATTATTTTACTTGTCAATAATTTATAGTGGTTTTTTAGGAATGGAAGTAATTAATATAATTTTCTTTCTGTCATAGGTGAACATCGTTGGAATTACCACTCCCCCCCACCAGAGATTTTTATTGTCAAAAATAAATCGAGAATTTAAAAAATTTGATTTTATAGAGTACAATCCCATTCAGAATTCCCCCTCACTTTAATATCATATCATTTTTTCATTTCCTATTACCACACACATTCACCCACTTTTCATTCTTCATTTCATTCGTAGAAACAAATTATTTTATAATATTTTTTAATATATCTTTTTTTTCTAGGTATTACAAACTTAATTTTTATTTTATTTTGTTTCAGGATATAATTAATTCTAATGCACTTGTAAGTGCATCGAATTGTTCATCAGGAACTTGCCCTTCGATGCATTCATTGCATCTTTTCAGACCTCCAAAATAATCTTTCCTTTTTCTTTTTTAGGTTCGTTTCAGTTTCTTTTTTCAATGAGTAGCGGGTAAATTCTTTCTTTGGTTTCTTCACAAAGAAATGTCTACTTCAGGGATGCGACCCTGCCCTACGCGAGCTATGATTTCTCTCTCCTACCTCCAATAATTGGGAGAAATCATGTCCCTTACCTAGAATTTCACTCACGAACCATAACTTTCCTATTCTTTTTAATATTTTGTTAGCAGGGTGAACTATGATGCAAAATTCTATTCAAAAGGAGGGGGAAATAGACCAAAAGAGGACTGAATTATGGTAAAGGGTAATATAAAATAATTATTTTTAAAAATAACTGAAGTATTTTAATTCTTTTTTCAGGTAGCATCTAATATCTTCTTTTTTTCTACAGATATCATCTAACATTATATATATATGTGGGATTTCCCTTCTCCTGTTAGTCTTCCTAAAGGATATCTAACAAGTAAAAAGGAAAGAATTCCGCGGTGTTATTAAGGGGACGTTCTACTCTGCAATTTTTAAAAAATTAAATTTTTTTTTTTTACRTTTTTCGAATGTATATATACGTAGAAATATTGTGTTAAAATTTCAAAAAGATCTGATGTCTCTAACTACATTTTTTTGCTGCCTGAACGTTACTATCTCGGACCGCTCTCCTGAGCGTTTGGCGCGCACGGTTCTTATATCGGCTACGGA